GAGAGAGAGAGAGAGAGAGAGAGAGAGAGAGTACTTGGAAGAGCTTGCCTGGCGGCTACAGCCGCCCATGTGCAATGACAATTTTATGTAAATGAGTTGATTAGTGAATACTATATTTGAGTTTCTATCTCAATGGTGGTTCGTGTGTGCATCCCTGGTGTGAGTTTGGTATAAAAGGTTCCTTCATGCATGGTCTCAAGGCAATTGGTATCAGAGCAAACTCCCGTTACGTCTCAAACGGGCACACAAGGGAAAAGTCGATGATAGTGCAGGCTAGCAGGTGAGGAAGAAAGGTGAATGGTGAAGGGAGGTTAGGGTTAGGCCGAAGAAGACGAGACTAGGATTCGGGAAGAACACTCACTTGGGCACTGCGACTTGGAGAAGCAATCATGAAGCCTCTTTGTCGAGGAATTTCAATATGCAAGTAATATGAACGAGAGCGATAGACAGAAAACCAAGTTGCAAAATCACGAAGTAGTCCAGATAGTCATGTACCAAGCAAAGAACACAATAAACCAAGATTCCATCCAAATAAGAGCAAAACAATGAACGTGGGTGTCAATGTCGACGCTCACTGGTCACACCAACACTGTATCCAATGTTGCCCCTACTGTCGGGCGCCCACCTCCCAGCCTACTCTAATTAGCCTATCTACTCTATCTACATTCTTGCGACTGGATCACATTGAAGTCGAAGACCAATGTACGTGACGTCAACACCATTGCCGACCACCAGTATACACCAGGAATGTTCTCTCTCCCCCCATCACACCTTGAACACCACTCTCTGCATGCGCCTCCTACCTAAAGACCACCATCATCATCACCTGCCTGCGCCCCTGCAGCCTGGCTATGGCTGCTGTGCGCCCGCTGCCTCAGCAGCGTCCCTCACCTCAGTGCCCGTGCACGCGTCCGACCAGCAGCGCCCATGCAGACACTAGCGCAGCAATGCAACTGCATGTCGGCATTGCCTGTCGAGGCCAGAATGCCCCCGCATGGAGCACGCACACACTTTGCCATATGGAAAGTGTCCGCTGCTGACTGGCCTGTCCAGGCGTGTGGGGGGCCCAGTAGCTTGTCTCTGGCCCCAAGTGTCTGCGCCCAGGCCCAATTTCAGATATTGGCCTGGGCCTCGTGCAGTTAGGCATGTCCAGGCAGCCACCCAGCCTCCAAGCGTTTGCAGCATTCTCATTGGCTCGTGACACATGTGTATGCTGCTTCCTCATTGGCCCGTAACCAAGCCGTGATGTGTCGACCTCACACAGCATGTGCCCAGGGCTCAACCACCTTAGCCCTGGGCTCAACTGTACAACGCAGCCCTTTTTGCTCCTGGAAGAGCTTGGAGGCTCACGTTGCTCTGTAACCAACTCGCGT